CCCTCTTTCGTGCCCATTTTGCTGTGAATGCCAATTTCAAGCAGGCAGAGGCAGCAGCAGCAGTATAGTCCCTCCTCTACGACTGCAGTTATCATGCCCATGACTGGGTTGTGTGCCACGAAAGTACGGCTTTTATCCCGAGATAACCGACACGCACTTCTGACCCCCCCTCGTCGTTTCTTTTCAAATCGGCTTTGAATTTATAGAGACCCCCTTTCATTTGAATGGCGGAGAGTTTATCACTATTATATATAGAGTGTCTCCACTTTTATGCCTACAACGAACCCCGAAGGATGGCAGTTTTTTTTTTTTTTTTTTGCCCGGGATCCCCATTTCGTAGTTATTTGTCCGGTTTTTTTGGACCTCGCAAAGAACGTTATTCCAGTTTTAAAAATATTTTTGATGGTTGGAACTTTGTATATTTCTCAATTTTTGCTTTGGTTCTAAAAGAAGTTGTTTTTTTCTCTACCTGAAGATTTTCAGTCTTATTCCTTCAATTTTCGTTGCGTCAATTACTGTCTATGCATCATACTCATTAATTTTTTCTCCGAGCTTCACAAAATCGAATTAAGTTTTGAATACATGGTAAACCTAACCTTTTTCCTGTCTTCGAACGATGATAGAGGCAATGAATGGATCACGATTTTGCATTGTAAATTTACGCATGTTTAAGTTTTAAATTGAATTTTGAAATTTTGTTTCGAGAATCATATCACTTACATGAAATTACATAGATGAAACATGGAGTTTGCCTCGCAAATGCTTACTTACTAAGCCATTTGTTTTCCATGGAGATCATTCTTTATACTTTTCCGCAGTATTTGAATACTCTGTTGGCGGAGTTTTTTAAATAATAAAAATTCAAATTGTTTAAAATCTCTGGAACAGTCCTCACTGTTCAGGTGATGAAAATTGCATGCAGTGAACAGATTATTGCATGTCAAGTATTTTTTGCATTATTTCAGCATTAATGCTTGAAAATTACATGATTAGACTATAGAGGAAAGTGCTCCTATTTTTGTGAAAATAGGAATTGAGTCCAGCCTTCAGAAACGAGAGAAGGAATTCAAAATGAATCTTCCCTCATCCAGCTGTCGTGATTTTCAAGGAGGATTTTAATTCATGCTAATTTAAAAATATTTCAGAGGCACATTCCAATCGTAACTTTTATTTATAGTCCCCGATGCTGAATCTCCAAACGTTTTCACCCCAAATATCCCCTAGTCCGACTTGTCTGGAATATTTCTAGCCGAAAACATATACTGCAGTTCATAATGTCCCAATGGGGCCAAGTTGGGCCTCATTTACGGAATGCAGTGCTTCGAATTCATCGTGGGAACTTTCCCCGGAGAAAGAGAATGGCTTTGACGTGTTTAAGGCGCAGTAAATTTCGCAGAAGTTTGCAGCAGGTTCTTCAGACACAGCAGCTTCTTATTCTTGTTTCGGAATGATGTTCGTTCGGCGCAGTTTGACACGTAATTCTCAGCGAGGAAGAGAAACTCACCTCTTTATGCAGGATGAAGCCAACTTTTCGGCCCCCGCTTTTGAGCAGGTCCTCGCGGATCATTTGACACAACTCCAGGCTCAGGGGCGGAAACTGTATGAAAAACGGAGATGAGAAAAGTTTTGAGTTGCTTCTCGAACACAACTTGCTGCTGGTGCTCGTGTGTGTGTGTTTGTGAGATAGAGAGAGAGAGGTGGATTATTTATGAATAAATTTCAAGGGATCACTCCGGTTTTGAAAACGGTATCATTATTATACGCAAGGTTTGGTTCGTAAGTTTTGAGACTTTTTAAAATACATATCCGATGGCATTTCAACAGTTTAAAAAATATATATTTAAACGCATACCACCATCATAGTCCTGTATATGGTAACACTTGATGAGTGTCGTTCAGCATCCGCCAATTTAAAAAAAAATGGCGTGATGGAATTAAGTTTGAGGGCAGGGACGACAGCCTCATTTCCTCCGCCAAAGAGCAGCTTCATCAACTAACGACACTCGGTTTTTGGCAATGTTATGATCGTTGTATTTACGACATTGAAAATTGCATTGAAATCGTGGAGAGTATGTTAAACAGCACTGAGGTGTTTCCAAATATTGGGGCTATGAGAGTGAAAATATTTTTGGAAATTGTTGAAAGGCCGTTGGATCTATTTCAAACAGTCTCAAAACTTATCACCACAGTCTCTCTACTTGTTTTAATAGTTTGTTGGACAACAAACTGTTTGCACGCATCCCAATTGATAGAAGAGCATGAAATTATCTTTTGAGACTAATTTGTCACTTTGATTCTGTCCAGAAGCAAGTTGAAGAAAAAAATATTTTGCAAGGTTAACTTTTGTAAGGGAAGTCCGTTCATTTGATGAAAAACACCCTGTTTACAAAGAACTAAAGTCTTCTCTACTTCAGTAATCGTGTGTTCTGTGACTTCTGTCACGTAATTATAAATTAAAATTATATAGATCCGAAAATACATTTTTAGTGGAAGAGCATTTACTTCAGAAAACATTACATAAACAACATATAGGACAACAATTTATTATTCCCTCTAATTTTACATCCAACCCGTACTTCACAATGAATATTGCATTGAACAAACGGTATCAATATTTGAAAATAAAGAGGTAATCATGTTAGGAATGCTTATATTTTATATGAAAAATGCATGGTGGTACTGTATATCGTAAATCCCTTGGTAAATACCATACCGAACGTGCCATCGGTGTAGATGCGTACTAAACTGGTTGTTCTACTGGTCCCATTTTTATTTTTTTTTACCCCTGGGGCCATCAGAAGGAATAAAAAGGAATTCATGGGATTTTGCCGACATATACCTGTTCTGAATTCTGGAACATGGTCTTGTGGTCCTGTGGGGTCAGTACTTTTGCCGAAATGTGCAGTTGGCTCACGTATCTCTCCACTCCGAACTGCATCAGCCCGGCGAAGCAGGACTCCGTGTTGAGCAGCAACCGAATGCTTCTTCGACGCCCACGATCCTCACTTGTCAAGGAACTGGATGATGAGCCTCTCTGTTAGCGGTGAAAGGAAAAAAAAAATGATGGAATTTTTAATTGTACAACAGAGCTGATACCATATAGTTGAACCTCTTCAAGTCAAATTTCACGGGATCAGCAAGAGAAGTTTCAACTTAGGGCGGTTTGGAAATATAGAGGTTTGAGCAACAAAACCAATCACTTTTGTTCTGAGAAACAAAGAAGAATTGCCCAAAATTGTAAATGGTAAGAAGGCATTACACATTTACACTACAATTAGCAACCTGGTTCAGAGCTCCAAAAAAGTGAGATCAACAAGAAAATTTTTATTTAGGAATAAAAGAGGACAAAAATCAACGTAAGGCTGGGAACCTTCTCGTGAGGAAGTTCGTATATAAAGGGAAATAATTTCAATCATGTCGCAATAAAGTAAAAATCATCTCAATTCGAACACATTTTTGAACAATAAAACCAAATAAATGTTCAAACCCTTTTTCCTGGAAAAAAATTTCATTGATGGATTTTTTGTTCTCTCACAAGGGAAAGCTTGTCTTCAACCGCAAAAGAGTAAGAGAAGTGCATGTTTTCTCCACATTCCTGCGCGTCCATAAAAAAAATCACCATGTTTTTGCAACGAGTCTTCTCTTTTTCTGATGATCGAAATACGAGAAACAGTACTTGAAACTTTGAGCAAATGGTTTCAACAGCAAGTTTCCATTGGAAACCTTTAATTTTTCGGCCAAAAGTATCTTGCATTTGCTTTTATTGAGCTGAATTGATAATCCAAGGATAAGCTCTGGAAGCAGGCTTTCTTTTTGAAAACAATTCAAATGCCAAAAGCTGCTTTCAATGAAAGCCTTTCAGAGAAATCCTAGATGTAATCCGTACTTTCAGACAGTAAAAAATCGCACCAAAATTACTACATCAAATAAACTGTCACTATGATCGACCGAAAAATATATTTCGCAAAATTGTCTATAACACGAGCCCAGAATTTTCAAACGTGTTCCATTGCTTTTCCATGACTGATTTAAAGTTGCCAGATTTAAAAAATAGGTAAAATTTAATCAATTACAAGAAAATTATGAAAAATCGAGGATTTATTTGGTTGCGCAAGGAGTTCTGCGTAACTTTTTTTGCGGAAAAAATCTCATGTACTGCATCATTTTCAGCTGGAACTGATGTTAGGTATCACTTTATTCCTGGATCAAGTTTCCGATGTTCGTGACGAACTTTCTTGCTTTCATTGGCCAACATTTTCGTTTTAGTAAATGTTTCAGGAATTTCCCCGATATAATAATTCAATTTTACATCATTCCTCACAGAAAAAAACTTGAATAAATACACACATGATTTATTTTGAAACAGACGATGCTAAATTTAATCTAGATTTCGAAAACATTTCGCATTTTGAAATTATCAAAAAAGGTGAAAAGGGGCTGATCGATTATAGCTTCCGCGAAAAAAAGATTTGATCGATCATTTATTTATTCGTGAAAACCCTTTTTTGCAGGTTTTCTGTTTTCTGATGAAAAAATGTCCTGAAGCAGAGCAAAAATACCATAAATTTTGTTTTTTCGCATGCCTATACATATATACTGTATGTATATGGCACTTGTTTTTGCCCCACTTTTGTCGCTGAACAAAGGAAGACCGAACGTCCTTTGGCGTAATTGGCGCTCAGACTCATTGCAGCTGCTGCTGCAGAAAGTCGGCAGTAATCTTCCTGATCAACTTTTGCCCCCCAAAAAAGGCCAAGATATAAGAGTCGAAAACCTCTCGTTCTCGACCCCGGGGGAGTAAGTATATATGTTTCGGAGAGCAAAAGACTTCCAACACTGACACACCAGCAGCTGCAGCTGCTGCTATACGAAAAGACCTTGTTCTGATCGATCATAAAGTGCTTTCAGCTCCCGAAATTGAAAATCTTTTCTGTGGCGTGTGTCGCTGTATATAGACAAGGAAAGAAGTTTTCTCCCCATATGAGCACAACAGCCTGGGGAAAAAAGGAATATGTGTGTTTGGGAATTGGGATTGTTTCCAGCTGCGACATATGGGATCACCCTCAGGGGGATTTTTTTTTATTTCAGTCACCGGGGATCCACGCGAAATTTCCTTTTTTTTCGATTCATCATAAATGGACAACTTCTCTTGGCTACATTCGGAGACATTCAAATTGATATTCTAACAAAAGAAACCTTGCAGAACATCCTGGATAATAGCTATAGGAAAAAGTTGAAAGTTCCACGAGGTATTGGATGCATCTCAGATTGACTCGTGAGATAAACAATATCTGTTGAACCTCCATATCACGCAAAGCTTCCCAAGTTGAATACTTAAATACTTCAAATATTTTGCTAGTCCCTGCATTTATTTCCATACAGAAACCGTGCATCAAAAACCTACTTAAATTGAAGGCTTTGCTCCTGAAACCTCCATAACTCAAATTTTCTGGATGCCTTTGGGTTATTATTTCATTGACACATGAACGAGGAAAGCAATGAAAATTTAACGATGTGTTTTGAATGGAAGGGAAAGACTAAATTGAGCGAATAAATCATTACCCCGTGTAAACTTACAGTGGAAGCAATTTAAAACCTAAAATATCACCCATTAAAATTTCCTGCAATTCTTCTTGCGTTCTCCCCCAACGCAAGTGCCTGTTTCCCAAGCTCAAAACCTTCTCAACTCCATTTTTTTGCTGGTTCCTTGAAGTTTTGAATTGAATTTACAAAACAAATACGGTTTCTTCATTTTTTTAACCGACGATGATTTGATGAAGATGAGGAAGACATTGGAAATGTTAGAACTATCCCAAGAACAGGGATAGTTTTAGATTTTAAAAAAGTGTTCATGCTGTCAATTTTTAACGCTTCGGGCCTGTGTGATTATTTACGCAAGAAAAGCTAAAAGAATGAACGTTTTTTTTTGTTTAGCTCATCCTAACGATTTTTTTGTAGCAGGTATTTTTCATTGGCCTCTTCTTAGAATACAACTTTTTGATGGTGATAATCAAAGGATTGATTTTCCCTGTAACGGAGATGACTGACTAATTTATCAGTTATTGAAAATGTTGGTCATGTTCTGAAATGCCATTCTTAGAACACTTTATCAAGACAAAGGTTTCTGTACGGTTTTACAAGAAGAAATATTTCAAGCCGTACACCTTGTTTTGAAATTAATTATAGGATCAGCAAAAAAGATTCAGAATTTTATGACAGTATTTGAGGTTACTTGAAAGTGTGGTCAGAGAA